CCTGCCCCGCGGGCTGCTCGGATCCCGCCTGCCCTGGGCCTTTCCTGGGTCTGCCGAGGCCGGGTGGCCGGGTGGCCTGTGACTGCCCCGGCGGGGTGGTCGCTCAGTTTATGAGCTCATCTGCCCTCTCCAGTCATGGCCCAGCACACACGTCCAAGTGCCGAGGTTGGCGACCCGTGGGGCGTTTCTGCGGGTGGATGCCCACCTGCTGCAGGTGATCCAGGTAGCTGAGATGCTCCACGTGGACATCTTCGCTGGCCCTGGAGACGCGTCACCCCAGCAGGTGGAGAGGGCGGTCTCTCCAGAAGGGGAACTTTCAACTCAAACCCGCACCAGCCAGGAGCGAGTTTGTCCCCAAGACTTCATCACAGCCGTCTTCTGGTTTGGTGTGTTCTCCTGATGGATATCTTTTAAACATCAGTGCCCATGACAAAACGTAATAAACATCAGGACAGGGGCCTGCTGAAGAGTCATTCCTAGTGATAGAGTTTTAAAAACATACGTTCCCACTATGCGTATGCTTATTTCATTTTTCAGGCCTTTCTGTCTTTTGCTCTGTGAGAGTGAGACTCTGGGGGACTCTAGCTAGTTGGTATGAGCTAAACAGGTTACTAGAGAGCACTTGGCAGATTGCTGCAGGCAGCTCTCTTCCAGGCTATAAACCGACCCAGCTCTAAAATTTAACTTGCGCGCCTATTCCTAAAATGACCGTCGGAGGGCGCGAGCGTGCCAGGATTGAATTCCGCCTCTGCCAGGCTCGGGATCATTTACATTGTAAATTTTACAGACAGCACGGGGATGGGACCCCGAGGAACGAAACGTCACAGACGCCTCGGAGTGAGTTGGGGTACATCCTCTGCAACGTCGAGAGCTGTCTCGGAGCAGCCCCCTTCACTCTTTCCTCGCCCCTGGTAAGACCACCACACGACAGTGGGTAAAGTTAAACGTTCACATGCCCCTTTTATCCATCTGGCTGTTAGGTCGAACTTCTAAAATGGGAAGATAAGTTGTTGAACCCCCCCATTTCTTAATCGTATAAAAATAAACCGAGAAAACAAGTGAGCCTCCTCCATGGAGATGCCAAACCATAACAAGGGCCACGACCTTCCCCACTGCGGCCACTT